ATATATTTGAAGTAAATCACAATATTGTACAACAAAATAATAAAAACACTACACATCTGCCTTTAGTAGACTTAAAAAGAGATCCAATTTCCTTTTTTCCCCTTTTTGCTCAATTCTCATGTCTTCTTTCTGAAATATGCAACATTTCTAAGGAAGATGTAAAATCTGACTAAAGTCTGAATACAATGGTTCATACCAGTTCTGAGGCAGACAGATAATTGCTTTTATTCTGTAAGCCTCTATTATTTGAAAACTGGTGATTGCTTCTGCTACAGATTCAGATTGCAGTGACCTAGAAGGAGGGTAGGTGCACCTAGCTGTTTCTGGCCACAGACTAAAATAAACACAATATTAAATTACCAGTGGGTAAGCCACAGGTGCTACAATCACAGCAAATCTGCACCCACAAAACATCAAATGCTGATGTTCTAGCGGCTGCACAAAAAGCTCTGTTGTAGGTAGAATCCTTATATGCCTGAAGGATTCCCACAATAACTCCTTATGGTCATCTGAATTTATACTTTAGTGAAAAAAAAAGGCCACAGAATAAACTGTTGTTCATAACACATATTCATATGGCTAGACCTTGAGAAGAAGGTAGAGATGCTGGGCTTTAGTCACTAGACCTGCCCACAGAAACAATCAGATAAACAGAACTGGTGTACAAATAAGAATACAGACATTCTAGAACTCTCCCTCCTTGAAATTAGTCACTACTTCAACATTGAACACTCACATGAGAGGAAATGCCAACATTGCAAAATGCTTTATAAATGTCACACTGCTGTGACTGCTGGTCAATAAATTTAGGTTTTTGAACTACATTTAATGAAGACCTCATCATGAAAGAAGCAGTAACTTCATTATTTTTGTATCATCAAAACTGAACATAACAAACGCACTTACTTTCTGTGAATTGATTCATTTGGAACAATTGTCATAAAAAAGAAAATAATTCTTAAATATTGAATTTAAGTCTTATGCATTATGCTTATAGTTCCTCATCAATATTTCAACAGTTAAGTTAAAGAATATGAAGTATAATTAGAATTATTTAATTATATTTATTCACATGCTATCTATATGTTTTCTACTAAATTATTTTGAAATAATAAATAGATACAGGATTTTCAAGGTGCAGAGAGAATACTTGCATAATCTTTGAAATGCAATCATTCAAATTTAATCTATGATTTTAACATTAGACTAAGGATTGAAGAGCTCTTCAAAACAGCTCAAAACAATACAAATCGAATTTATTCAGTATTTTTCACAATCACTAAGCAATTGTAATACAATTAAAACATTTGCAAAGGAACTAATTAGAATTAAAGAACACCATAATACTAATTCACAGATTTTAATTTACAAAAAAAGAAAGCAGCTATGTTTAAGTTTAGGGTGATAATCCCTTCCTCGGGCTTCAGAGGTAGTTAATCGGCTTGCAGGTGATGATCAAGTAAATTTGATATGTATAAAATAAAATATAATATTTTACTGGTGGAAGACCATTTTAC